GGGGGGGGGTGAGGTACCCGCAGTCAGCGTTGCCGCCATCTGTATACAACTGGGGGGGAGGGGAGGAAAGCAGGACTGCGCATAAAATTATGGCCGGACTAGAATTGCAGATGAAGAACGGTTCTCAAACAGGTCCTAACGAGCCAAAACGGTTGCTCCGGGACACTAACAACATTTTTGGTGGACCGCTTTTGTAAAACAAAAAGACGGCGCGGGGGTGACGCTCAACAGGTGGAAAACGACAAGTCAGTTCAGAATGGCGAGACACAGAAGGATACAACTGTGACTCACGTTGTCCCATTTTCCGACATCAAGGCGGCGGGATTTGAACCCGGTAATCTTCCATGAAACTCAGACATCCCGCTCGTTGACGCCAATGTGAAATGAGGGAACCATTCGTCCTCGCCAGACGTCGGGGAGACGAGAACCGTTTAAATGGTCACCTCCACACGAACTCGATACAAGTGTGTGGAGAGGCCTACTGAGGCAACTCCGAAACCTGGGCGTAAGGGACAGCATCTACAACAACGACAACAAGCACCTAACCATGAGGACCACCAATAGCAAAAACATGAACAACCACGACCACAACAGAGACAGATAAATCTATCTCACGTAGCCAAACTCAAACATAAACCACGAAGAACACATCGACAACAGAAACAGATCTCACGTTGCTCAACCCAAACTCAAAACATCAACCACAATAGCAACAATGACAGAGACAGCACATCAATCTCACGTACGTTGCTCCACCCAAACCCAAACATCAAACACAACAACAACAGCAGAGACAGCAGATCTATCTCACGTTGCTCAACCCAAACTCCGCCTGGACGTCCGTCTCCTCGTAGTCTCCCCCGAAGTAGTACATGAAGTACACCGACGACTCCGTCGCCACCCTCGAGCTCGCCCCTAGGTTAACGTCACCCAGCCCCACGTGCGCGGTGTCGAAACCCCACCACTGCTCGGTGTTCTTGTCGAGCACCGAGGACATAGCCATCTGTCCGGCCGTTCGTCGCCAGGTCAGCCCGTCCGTTGACTCCGCCCGCCCGATCCTGCTCTCTCGAAAGCAAAGGGGACGGGGTACTCGTATTACCGCATGCCGTATACAAACAGTCGGTATTTTAGACCATTGACCTCGCATCCCTATAATGCCGGGGAGGAGCGACATGTCGGTTTTTCGCCAGCTTGAGGGGAGGGGTACTGATGTAAACGCGTGCCGTAGTCGTTAGATCATTGATCTCGCATCCGTACGATCCGGGCCCGAGCGATATGGAAGGGGTGGGTGGGTGAACTCAAATGTAAACGCATGCCGAACTCGCTAGACCATTGAACTCGCATCCCTGCAACGCCGGGACAGAGCGAACGGCGGGTTCTCGCCGGCCCAAGCAAGGGGCGGCGGGGGTAGTCATGTAAACGCATGCCGTAGACTTTAGACCATGAACCTGCATCCCCACAATGCCCCGGTAGAGCCATATACCAGATTTTTGCCGGCCCAAGCAATGAGGGGCGTACTCAAGAAAATGCATGCCGTGCTCGTTAGACCATAGGCCTCGCATCCCCACAATGCCCGGACGGAGCTATGATGTGCCGGATTTCGTCGGCCAAGGTTACGTTTCGCAGGGATGAACCCGAAGCTGGTCTGACCATCCTTGCCTTTGCTGTGCCAAACCGGACTTGCCCTGGGTTGATTGGACGTTCCGGCAAACTACGCGGTTCATTCTCGCGGGCCCAGGCTACGCTTTAAGAAGTGCATGTATCCATATGTACCTACCTTCCTGTGCCGACGTTCATCACGCCTTTGCCCTCCTTGTTCCACTCGGTGTCCTGGCCGTGGTACCACATCACCCAGCGGTTCCCTTCGTCATGGTAATCTGATAGGTCAGGCGTTAGGGAGCAGGGCAGTCACGCCCAATAAGCAGCAAGGAGTGGCAGCGGTAAGGGGCGGGTGCTTCAGAAGTAGTCGAGGGGGGGTGGCGTGCAAAGGATGCTTGAGGGCATCTTGCTTTCAATCGATTGTCCCACTGTCTTGCTTCGCTTTCATGCTGCATTGGATGGTTTGCACGTTGGGGGCACGTCTTGCTCTTTGCTCTATGGAACAAGCTGCTTCTGTGCTATTACCGATGGCGGGGTGTGTAACGGACCTTGTCAAGCTAAATTTACCCACACCGACTCTTGACGGTCAACGGCACGTGACACAAGATAACACCCCCTCGCCCGATTTCCAAAGCTGGATTGTTCCACGACGAAGAGGATGAACAAATGAACGTGCCTTTACGCTTTCGGAAAGCTCTCGACAAGGCGGCTTCAACGCTGCCATTTTGGGGCTGCCACTCTTTCTACTGTAGAGAAAATCGAGCGTCGACAATCGACTCAGGGGGGGGGGGGTGATATCCTGTGTCACCTAGAGTACGTGAGAACAACTCTTTGCGCATGTTTACAACGCAAAACCTTCCATTTGCCCTCCCTCACATCTATGCACCCTTGGCGACCCCACGCTGGCGCTGTCGAACCAGCCTTCCTCCTTGTCCGTAGGGAACACAAGGCCGCGACGAGAAGGATAATCTCCCGAGTACGAGCTGGACTCCATGACCAGGGGAGCGGGGCCGCGGCACGCCGCTCGTGAGGTGATCGCGCTAAGGCCGCATCCAGCGCTGGTTGGTGCGTTTCGCAGAGCAAATGTTGTTGCTGCTTGTGCTCGCCCTCTCCTCGACGCAGCACGCGGCGCTGCCGCCGTGAAGCCGGCTGCCTCTTGTGTGCATGAACATGCCACTACCCCCACAACGGCTGCTCTGTAGATACTGGGAGCCTTCATCGTGCGCCCAACTGCACGACCAAGCAACCACCAGGCCAAAGAGAGGCAGACAGAGAGAGGTAAGCGAATGGGGGGACCCGCAAAGTCGAGATCAACGAAAAATGGGGTGAGTACGCGAACCTACATGCCTCGAGACCAACTGGAACACCCTTCTAGAATGATATTCGCCCGATCCCCTCATCAATGTGGTGGTGGCGTTTCGCTTCGAGAAGGTTCGAGATCAGCCAGATGCCGCCAACTGCTGTCTTCCCCACCCGTTTACTTCTCACAGAGATCCAAGAAGAACAGCACGAAACAGCAGTACCAGAGACAATACATAGAACCAATAATCATGGCAGCAGTCGAGGGAGAAAGCATCGGCATCGACCTGGGCACGACCTACTCTTGCGTAGGCGTGTGGCAAAATGACCGCGTTGAGATCATCGCCAACGACCAGGGCAACCGCACGACTCCGTCCTACGTGGCCTTCACCGAGACGGAGCGCCTGATCGGCGACGCCGCCAAGAACCAGGTGGCGATGAACGCCACCAACACTGTCTTCGATGCCAAGCGACTGATCGGCCGCAAATTCACGGACCCGGCCGTGGCCTCTGACAAGAAGCACTGGCCCTTCAGTGTGGTCGCGGGTCCTGGTGGGAAGCCCACGATCGAGGTATCTTTCAAGGGAGAGAAGAAGCAGTTCGCGCCTGAGGAGATATCTTCGATGGTGCTGGTCAAGATGAAGGAGATTGCCGAGGCCTACCTTGGCAAGGAGGTGAGTGTGTGACCTGTAGTCAACAGCAATAAATGAGTGCCGTGGTCGTTCTCGAAGAAAAAGGGGTCCGTTCTCCTGGAGGTATTTGCTAAGGAGGGACGATTGTACAGAAAACAGAGAGGATACCTCTCGTACCGTACTCTGTATTTTGGATCTCGATACCAGATGCTACCAGCTGCTGGAAAGCGCAGGTACTTTGATCTTGGATTCATCTGGAACACATTATTGGATGGCAGCAAAGAGAGCGGTTGTTTTCTCGAAATATACCCGCCGGGTGTGAAGCAGAGGTGGGCCGTGATGCCTGCTGTTGCTTGCGCTCTCGTTTGCTGGGAGGTGGTGCTCGGCAGCGAGGAAGACGACGACCACGTCTCGAAAACGATCAGATGCAACTGGTAAACTCGAAAACATTTTCTATTCTACTGTACCATTGGCATAAAGTCTGTGGTAACCCATCGACTCCCCATGGGGATTGTATGTGAGGTGGGAATGGTTGGAATGGTTGATGCGGGCAACATCGGATAGGCGCCGAAAACCATGTCCCTCTACGTTGTACATGAAGCAGCAATTTTCTGAGACGGATAGGGTTGTGCGTCCAAAGCAGTATTTTGCGGTGAAAACGTTCTGCCGTGTCACCCACGCGATAGAAGGGGCGAGGTTTTTGTTGTACCCCTTACACAACCACCGAACGAGGTCGGAAACGCGTCCACACTTGTAGAATATTCTCAGCTAGAGGTAAGTATACGCAGGTTTTCGTCCAACAATAGCGGCAGAAGGGGGAGAGCAACCCAAAACAGACTCTCGTACGAAACGGTCGTCCACCCGTTGACCTCAAAACCTGCGTTGTTGGTTCCGCGTCGGTGCCCTACAGACTGTATTCAATTCAGCACGGAAGAGACGTACCATTTCCTGTGTGCAAGAACTTAGCGGGTTTGTTGTGAACAGACCACGAATCCATCGTACAATGTGACGTACTTTGGTTGGCGGTCATGAGAGTACCCGTAAGATCCGTATCGTCATACGCCGACTGCTGCTAGCAATGCAGCTGAGTGTTACTGTTGGGGCTTGCTGTGGAACCCTAGCGCCTTCTACATGGCAGCGATCACGTCCTTTCGAGAGGAAAGACGCTACACGCCTTCACACGAACCGTCCACACGCCTCCGTAGTAATAAATCCCGATCACCAGCACCCAATCGTCAAGCTCTGAAACAGTCATGAAGGACTTTTGGTCGACAACTGTTGTAACTCCTCCATTAACACGTCACGGTTCATCAACTCTGCCAGGTGAAGAACGCGGTGATCACCGTGCCCGCGTACTTCAACGACTCCCAGCGCCAGGCGACCAAGGACGCCGGATCCATCTCGGGCCTCAACGTGATGCGCATCATCAACGAGCCGACCGCCGCGGCCATCGCGTACGGCCTGGACAAGAAGGGTGAGGAGCGCAACGTGCTCATCTTCGACCTGGGCGGGGGCACCTTCGACGTGAGCGTGCTGACCATCGAGGAGGGCATCTTCGAGGTGAAGGCAACGGCGGGCGACACCCACCTGGGCGGAGAGGACTTCGACAACCGGATGGTGGACTACTTCCTGCAGGTACGCGCGTGCTTGCTTGCTGTGGTGATCGGGTCGGTTCATTGCTCCGTGTTTGGGGGGCAACGGAAATGGGTTCTTGTTGCACCGTAGTTTTGCTCGTTGCCTTGTGGATACAGCGGCGGCGTGTCTCGCTGTGTCTGGCACACGTCCTTCAAGGAATAGAAGCCCAGGAAAACTGTAGCTTGACTTTGTGATCGCAACGCGCTCAAGAGTGAGTAACGTGCGCTTTTGTGAGGCCCAGCACACGAAAGCTTCTTCCCAAGAGGGACTTTTTTTGTTTGTCGGAATGATGGCTATTCCCCAGTAAAATGTGAACTGTCGAGGTGCCCCGTACCCAAGGGTGTCGTGAAGGCCGTTCATCCTGCGTGTTGTCCCAGACCGCAGTCTGGTGTAGGTGAAAGTCGATGTTGCTGCTGAATGACGCTTTTGGGACATGTGCTTCTTTTCAGTTCTTCTCAGATATTGTAGGGATCAGATGCTGAGGGATAATTGGGAGTGATAGTGGTGGGGCTCGTATTACCTCGATCGACAGTCGATTCAGTCAAGAGCTATGTCGCGTTTTACCAAACATCACTTATCACATCGCGCGCGTAATATTGTAAGCAGCAACTTCAGCCGTATCTTTAGCTATTACACGCATCCCACAGCGGGCAATGCGCTATATATGTTCCAAGATCCCCAGCTTTCGTCCTGCTGATGGCTGTTGCTGCCGGAAACACCAACCGAGTCGAGTATGTCGTCCGCACGCACTACGTACCCTCGTTTATTTCCAGCCTAAAGGAGAAATCGGGAATTCCGTGCTTCGACCGCGCCAGCATTGGAGCTGCGCCCTCGGTGACTGCCAATCGGGCGTGGCTCCCCGGCTAGGAATTGTGAAAGGTCAAATTTTCTTAATAGCCCTTTCCTTTTTTCCTCCCTCCTTCGTCTTCCATCGCCATGGTGGCTTGCTCCCGTGCACCACCGTAAACCGCAGGAGTTCAAGCGTAAGAACCGGAAGGACATGAGCACCAACCAACGCGCTCTCCGACGGCTCCGCACGGCGTGCGAGCGCGCGAAGCGGACCCTCTCGTCGTCCACCCAGGCTCACATCGAGATCGACTCGCTGTTCGAGGGAATTGACTTCAACTCCACCATCACTCGCGCCCGGTTCGAAGACATGAACCAGGACTACTTCCAGAAGTGCCTGGCACCCGTCGAGAAGGTAGGTTCTCAAGTCACCTGAGGTGGTTACCAAGTTAGCGTTGTTTTTTTCTAGGGGGAAGGGGCAGAAAAGGATAAGGACTGTTTTTTTTTGTGGCACGACAGCGGCTATTGCCAACTTCTAGGCATCGGTCATCACACGTGCATGAATTTTGTGCAGAGTGCAATATCCTGTCGAAAATATAAGAACTGAGAACTGGGGTGGCGGTAACAAGCTGACGATTTGTACATTGACGCAGGCTTGTGGGTGTCGAAACGTCCGATGTCCTTGACCGCCACATACAGAAAAGGACACGCACAGTACGTACATAGATAACATGTTCACCACGTTTCCACGTGATTGCCACTATTGTAGTATGGGCGTTGATTCCATTAACAGGAACACGGAACACACAGTGCGTGAGGACCCCAAAATAAAGGAAACTCCCTCGGTTAAGGAAATCCTGTTTTTTTTACGGGCATGGTGGCTCGCAGAATGGACATAACGAGTAGTATCAACTGTTGGGACACTAGCCCAACTCAATGACACTTCCTTTTAGCAAGAAATCAAATGTGCGTCCTAGACCGAGGTTCGACTGCATGGCTTCGATCCCTCCACATTCTCGAAATTTTTTTCTCGGCCCAAACCAGGTGGTGAAAGACGCCAAGATGTCCAAGGGCCAGATCCACGAGGTGGTGCTGGTGGGCGGTTCCACCCGTATTCCCAAGGTGCAGCAGATGCTTTCCGAGTTCTTTAACGGCAAGGAGCCGTGCAAATCCATCAACCCCGACGAGGCCGTCGCGTACGGCGCCACCGTCCAGGCCGCCATCCTCTCTGGCAAGGACAAGTCGGACAAGCTGGACTCGCTCCTGCTCCTAGACGTGACCCCGCTCGGGCTGGGGCTGGAGACGGCCGGCGGCGTCATGTCGGTGCTCATCAAGCGTAACACCACGGTGCCGGTAAAGAAGTCGCAGGTGTTTTCGACCTACGCGGACAACCAGCCGGGTGTGCTGATCCAGGTTTTCGAGGGCGAGCGTAGCATGACCCGCGACTGCAACCTCCTGGGCAAGTTCAGTCTGGACGGGATCCCGCCCATGCCCCGGGGCCAGCCGCAGATCGAGGTGACGTTCGACATCGACGCGAACGGCATCCTGAACGTGCACGCCGTAGAGAAGTCCACCGGCAAGGAGAACAAGATCACGATCACCAACGACAAGGGCCGCCTCAGCGCTGACGAAATCGAGCGCATGGTGGAGGAGGCCGAGCGCTACAAGGCCGAGGACGACGTCCAGAAGAGCCGCGTGGAGGGCAAAAACTCGCTCGAGAACTACGCCTACTCGATGCGCAACACCATCAACGACGAGAAGGTGCGTGTCTTGGCGGTTTCATGCGTGCACCATGTTTCCAGAAGGTAGTGGTCGCCACGATCTTCGGGAGCCGTGTGTTTTGCGATGTAAATCGGTGACGCATGATTGGCCCCCCGCAGCGTCTTATAGTGTAGGCCAGAAGGCGTGTTGTTTCAGCCAAGGTATAATCTTGACATCACCACAGGGCGTTGTGCCCAACGCTACAGATGTAGTCACGAAATGTTCGTACAGCACCGCTCTCTTGCAGCATTGCCGTACCTCCTTCCCCCGAAAACTACAAGAACAGGTTGCCTCGAAGCTGGACGCGGCCGACAAGACGACGGTCGAGAGCAAGATCTCCGAAACGATCGCGTGGCTCGACGGTAACCAGTCCGCCGAGAAGGAGGAGTACGAGGAGAAGCAGAAGGAGCTGGAGGCCGTGTGCAACCCCATCATCCAGAAGATGGCCGGCGGCATGCCAGGCGGTATGCCCGGCGGCATGCCCGGAGGGATGCCCGACATGAACGGCGCCGGCTTCCCCGGGGCTGGAGGAGCACCAGCTCCCGACGCGGACGCGGACGCCGGCCCCAAAATCGAGGAGATCGACTGAACGAAAAATATTGGAAGACGAAACTGAAAACGGTGCTTGCTACAAAGTTTATGAATTAACACGTTTGTGTTGTGTTTTTCGTGAATTGTCTGAGTGGGCGGCGAGGGGACAGGGCCATTCCCACAGAGTGAGCGATGATTTTTTTGCTGAGTAGGGGAGGGGGGGGGTAGCGCCCAATCCCTACGCAGGTAAATTTTGGGCGTGTTTCAGTCATTCTGGCTCGAATGACTCATGAGTTGATTCGTGTCGTTTTGATCTGCACAGAAAAGCGACGAGGACGCGACGGGTTCGACGAGGAGTGGAAGGGTGGGAAAACTGGCAACTTGCAGATCTGCTTTTTTGTTTCTGGGATTTCAAAGGTTCACGAGTGCTGATGCCAATTTAGACAAATGGCGGGTGGAGGAGTACGCAGGTACGAGTGGAACCTTCACCTTGTTTGTTTTAGATAACCGAGTTTCATGCGACCGAGCGCATATGCTCGAGCAGGCTCACATAAAGGAATTAAATTGTCGCTGGGCTTTCTCAAACACCCGTCTTCCCCATCTGGTCGAACAATGGGGCACAGGATGCGTCCCCTTTTTTGTTGGGAAGTTGTCCTGCAATCACGCAAGGTGTCCGTGTCAATTGGACAGGTACACGCAGGTGCGGGTGTAGACTAGAAGGTACTGAGCAGAAAAACGGAGCGGGTAAGCTTGTAGTCTAAGGCCCAATAAAAAAAAACGATGCTGCCCTTCTCCCGCATTTAGGATACAAACGATCTCCGAAGAGCCTTGCCCAATGAACCATCCAACGGCCCGGACGAACGTATTGCGTTGGCGTGCATCTTTTTCCACGAGACGTCCTACTCTAAATCAGGATATGACCCAACCAGTACACCGGGAACCAGCCCAGTTACGACGAAGAACGCTCCCTGGATATGATGAGTATAACGTGCTGCTTATTATTGGCTCGATGTTGTTAAATGTCTATGGCAGAGGGTCTCCAAGTTGAGTCAGAGACATGGTGCAGGCGAACGTATATGTACAAAAATTGTCCGCGTCCTCTAGTGTGTGTGCGACTACGACAGCCAAGTCGACCTGCTATCGGCACATCATGAAGGCAATCGGGCAGGGTTTGAGTACTGAACCAGTACGTACTGGCAGTGCATGTGCACTGGCTGCGTCAGCACTACAGTTGTTGTTGTTGACTTCACATTAAACCGTATGCCAGTTGCTAAATGCCAAAATCTAGCAAAGACTCTCGGCCCGTGGTCACGAAAGTGCTAGAGCCATCTGAGGATCTAAAGAACACGCACACGTAGCAAGAAAAAGGTGTACAAGAGCCCGAAGAGGTACTATTACGGTGGAACACAATAATCAAGACCAAATTGGGCACTTCCCGTTCTCTCTCAATTTTTTTTTTTTCTGTCATAATGCTCTCTCCCGCGAAGTTGATAAAAAAACACACACTCTTTTGCAACTTTTGCACGCAATAACACACACATTGGGTGGGTTCAACAGAAAGCCTGTTACATCAGCTGTCGAATGGCGCTGGTTTCGTACCCATCGAACAGTCACAGGACGAAGTGAACGGCGCCAAAAGCAGGCACTTCATGGCAGCAATTTTCAAGCGGGCATACTTGTTGCGGTTCGGGAAATAAAGTTAGGTTCTAAAATGGAACCCAACGCAAACTGCTCAACATGGCGCGTACAACGCCAATTTTTTTTTTGAACATGAGCCGGCCGTTGTAGAGCAACTCGCCGTCCACGCCAGGCACCTGGCCAATCCAGCACCCACCATGACCAAGCGTGGTAGACGGGTACCGACAGGAGGAACCAGCGGCCGTCCACCTAAAGCGATCAAGGGGGCCAACGCTGCGGCCGCGAGAAATGCAAAGGCTATGAACAAGCGCCTGGATGATATGGAGAAAAGAGAGGCGGCCACTGCCGCTGCCGAAGCAGCTCTCGCGGCCAAGTAAGAAGAGGTAAAGGCCATGAAGGCGTCAGTGGCCAGGGATCGGGAGAAGCTCGCGCGGGACATCGCGAGGTCAGACGTGCTTCAACAGCAGCGTGAACGGCGAGAGCAGGATCGTGTCAGCAAGGCTGCTGAAGCGGCGACTTCCAAGCTTCCCCCTCTCACGCTGAAGTTTGTCGAGGACTGTGCAATCACTGAGGCCCAAGACTGGAGAGCTCACCACCCTGCAGCAGTCGCGGATTATTCTCATGCTGTACTTCGACCTGGTGAAAGGAGGCAGCTCTGAGAACCACGCAAAGGAGCAGGTGAGA